CCCGTTGCATGAGCACACAGCCCAGGCCCTGATTAGATGCATCACAGTAGATAACGAAGTCCTCCGTCCCTTCGGGCAGAGACAAGATAGGTGCGATGCATAGGGCCTGTTTTAATGTTTGGAACGCATTGTCTTACTTTTCACTCCAACAAAAGGGTACGCCTTTCTGAGTCAGAGCGGTTAAGTGTTTGACAATTCAAGAGAAATTCTGGATGAATCTGCGATAGTAGCCAGCGAGACCCAAGAATTGACGGATTTCTGTGGGCGTCTTCGGTGCTGACCAGTTTTCTATCGCTTTGATTTTGGAGGGGTCCACGTGTATGTCTTCCTCGCTTACCACATGACCTAGGAAGGTTACTTTTTCGAATCCAGAATTCGCACTTGGAGAATTTCGCGTACAGCTTCTCCGTCCTTAATGTTTCCAGCACCGATCTCAAGTGATGTTTGTGATCTTCCTCGCTTCTGGAGTAGACAAGTATATCGTCGATGAACACGATGACGAACTTGTCCAGGAAAGGACGGCACACCCGGTTCATCAGGTCCATGAACACTGCCGGTGCGTTGGTTAGACCGAAGGGCATAACTACGAACTCGTAGTGACCATATTGAGTCCGAAATGCTGTTTTAGGAAGATCACCCTCATGGACTCGTAGCTGATGGTACCCTGATCTTAAATCTATTTTTGAGAAGTAGCTGGCTCCTTGGAGTTGGTCGAAGAGATCATCGATTCGAGGAAGAGGGTAAGGGTTTTTGACAGTGAGCTTGTTCAGCTCCCTATAATCGATACACATTCGAAAGGATCCATCCTTCTTTTTCACGAACAAGATCGGGGCTCCCCAGGGTGAGGAACTCGGTCTGATGAATCCTTTGCCGAGCAGCTCATTGAGCTGACTAGATAGCTCCTGCATTTCTGCTGGTGCTAGGCGATATGGAGATTTAGCTACGGGAGTAGCTCCAGGGACTAAGTCGATGCGAAACTCGACTTGTCGTTTGGGAGGGATTCCAGGGAGATCTTCTAGAAAAACATCGGGAAAGTTGCAGACTTCGGGGATGCTCTCGAGGTCTTTAACTTCCTGCTTCTCGTTAATGACGTGGGCTAAGAATGCATAACACTCCTTCCGCAGGAGTTTCTGGGCTTTGATGCACGAAATGATGCGAAGGTTTGAACTGAGTTTATCGTCGTAAATGACAAGAGTTTCATCCGGGGAAAGATTGAGACGGATGGCTTTTTCGTAACAAAGGATATCAGTACGATTGGGGCTCAACCAATCCATGCCGATGATGACATCAAAGCTTTTTATAGAGACTGGCATAAGATCGATGGGAAATGAATGGTCGTTCAGAGTAAGGGTACAACCCATGAATATGTCATTAGTGCTCTCTTTCTCACCGTTAGCCATTTCGACGGTAAACGTTTCGGTTAAAGGTTGAGATTTATGTTTAAGAAAATGCTTGAATGCATGACTAACAAAACTTCTTTCAGCACCGGAGTCGAAAAGAATGCATGCATAAGAGTTGTCGAGGAGGAACGTACCCGAAACAACGGTAGGGTCATCAACCGCTTCCTCTTGGCCCATCGTCAGTACTCTCCCTGTGCCACCAGCTGTTGTTGACTTGGGGCAGTTTCTCTTGTAGTGCCCGACCTCTCCGCAATTATAACAGGCTTGACCGACGCCTGCTCTACCTGTTTGATTGGTTGGTTGGGCTGGTGCTCTGCAGTATCGGGTCGTGTGTCCCTTCTTTCCACAGTTGTTGCAATTCAAATCACGGCAGGGTCCGTGATGATGAAAAGTACACTTGTTGCACAGAGGTAGTTTCCTTGAATAACCACCGGTAGGGGCTTGGGTGGTAGGAGCAGTAGTGGGAGTAGCAGTAGGAGTAGTAGCAGCGTGGACTGCCACTGTTTGTTGCTTCTTGGAGTGCTCCTGCGAAGATTGACCCTTTCTCTGCTTCCAGAATTTTCTCTTCTCACCACTCCATTTAGCCGGTTCAGGGGTGGCGGTCACTTTATCGAGATCGACTCCATGACCGATGTTTCGCACGCGAGTGGATCCTATTAACATGTGATAACACATATGTGATTACACTTAGGGTATATAGCCACTATTAGACACATAGACACATCTTAGGGACATGAAAACACTTAGAATTAGGTGTAACAAACACCTATTGAAGTCCCCAAATGAGTGTAATGCTCAAAATATATTATTTTGTTTAAGATAATTATATTTCTAGTATGCTTTTAACATGGAAAACAGTTTTTATCAAACGATTAAGAAATCAACTCGTAGAAACAGTTTTCAAAACTAGGGTAACGAACTTGTGAATCATGTCGTAAAATGTATCATTTTATAAAGGATTCCTGCAAATCATAAAAAGGATTTTCCATATTATTAATTGTAAATTTGTTAGTCTAGTTGGAGACACGTCCTTGGTAACACTCACCACCGAAACATAATGTAGGACTAGCACTTATGACCAGAATCTCTTGTAGGGAGAGCGTGACTGCTGTGTATAGATCTATACGGGACTGACTATCTCGCACCTCGCTGCTAGCTACAGTGGGACCGGCAGGTCTACGGGTGACAAAGTCATAAAGGATATTGGCTCCAGTACATGCCATATCAAGTTAATGTATGGTCATGACCCTCGCAACGTAGATAGCAAATATTTACTTATGTAATAATGAATCAAGTGAACTAACCTCAAAGTAATAACCGATTTAATTACTGGAGGGTATTAATAATAATATCTTCAGGACTTAGTTCATCACGGTTTTCTTTTATTTAGTTTTTTAAGGTAATGTACCTCTTTGGGTGTAACCAGGGTTTTTAAAAGAAAAGTGTTTTTATTAATACGAGTATGGTAGATACTTGCATACCTCAGTCTAAAACGAATAATCAACCATCAACCTTTAGGGAAAATACAGGATTTTCCCGGGATAAACCGGCTATTCAAAACGGTTTTGTTTATCATGTAATCAACGGATATTCATATTCATTCCACGACACCTTGGATTGTACGTATCTTGGTACGAATCTGGAAGTCATGGAAGGAATGAGTTTTCAAACAGGCTTTTATTAAGAAAATATAGGATTTTCTTGACGAACACTTTTCAAAAGGGTCAAAGAACATTTTCCACCAAAAACTAAACGCTTATGAACTCACCAGCTTTATGTTGATATTCTTTCAAAACTGTTTGTATTTTCAGGGAATTAGTAGACAGGTACTTCCAGGCTTTTGGAGAAGTCGGCGCGTTAGAGTCACGTCTTTCGATTTTACTTTTGTTATAAATAAAACCTTGTATTAAAACAATGTAAACCTTTTTCATATATGTATTCAATGTTTGGTTGTGTTTACTATGCTTACTATGATACAACTATTGTGATACTACGCATGACGTCAACCACCCCGAACGTTTCCGCCGTTCTGGTTTGGGGGTGTGACATCCCGATAGTATAAAGATGTACCAAAATTTGAAGAAGATGTATTTGTGGCCCGGGATGAAAGGATATGTTGGTAGATATGTCGAAAATTGTCTGACTTGTTTACAAGTAAAAACAAATCACAAAAAACAAAGAGGAGAAGTCCAATTGTTACCTATTCCCGTGAGAAAGTAGGACGAGATCACTATGAACTTTATTACGAAGCTACCACGATCCTCAAGAGGACATGAATCCATTTGGGTTGTGGTCGATCGCTTGACCAAATCTGCTCGATTTATACCTATAGAAGAAAGTATTTCCGTTGATCGGTTAGCAGATATCTATATTAACAAAGTGGTAAAATTTCATGGCGTACCAACTTCTATTGTATCTGATCGAGATAGTCGATTTACATCGTGATTTTGTCAAAGCTTTCAAAAACAAATGGGCTCTAAATTATTGATGAGTACCGCATATCATCCCCAAACTTGTAGCACTCGAGTCGCCAGGTATGAAGTTTCTGATTTAGTCCATTTTTTATATTCAAGTTAAGGTGGTGGAAGGGCGAGTATCCATTCCTCGTCACATATACTATAACTTTCATAAAATTATTTATCCTAAACAATCCCCTTTTTAAAAGTCATTATTATGGCTTATAATAACTTATTTTTCTACCCCGAATTGCACGGGTGTTACAGTTGCTCAACTTCGTCAACAACAGTATGCGAACAAGAGACGAAAACCGTTAGAATTTAAAGTTGATGACATGGTGATGTTGAAAACCGTTTAACTAGCCAGTAAGTTAGTTAAAGGGGTCGACATGTACCTCGACATAATTCGTGTTACCGAGTCGGCTTCGTGGGCACGTACGCCTGTCTTAACTCTTAACGACTAACACACACGTGGTCTAAATTATATTCCTAAACTACAATTGTACACTACATGACTTAAATCCTTAATTCCTTATAAAGATATATTTTCAAACATAAGATATGCTAGACCAAATAACATTTGAATTTTATCCTCGTTAAGTTCATTAAGTCCGGAAGAAACACAACCTTATAGTTAGCCAAAAATTCCTCCCATTTGTATGTGGAGAACGTATATTACACGACCATTAAAATTTTCATTAATTTTAAGTCCTAGCTTTATATTAGACACTAATAAGTGTGATATATAATCATTTGTCCATTATATTCACAAGTTTCAGGTCCATCAATAATACAACAAAAATAAATTAAAATTTATTCTAACGAAGTTTTACTCTATCCATACAGACATACAGTGATATAGAATTATAGAGGTGAATATACGATTGGATTTTGTTTGTTCATTCAACCGTTAAAAAGACCTATCCTTCAACTTGAAATTATCCAATGAAAACCCTTCACTAGTCATCACACGGATCGCAATCGTACGGCAATTCATCCACCGATCTCATCGAATCCAACGGCTGTCAACGCACCCATCACAAACACAAAATCAACCACCACTATATAATCAAATCCCGTGTTCAGAATTAGAAAACACACAGAAATCAAAACCAATTCCAGAGTATCCATTCCGTACAAAGAGATGTCAGGAAGAGGAAAGGGAGGCAAGGGACTTGGAAAGGGAGGAGCCAAGCGCCACCGGAAAGTTCTCCGTGACAACATCCAGGGAATCACGAAGCCGGCGATCCGTCGTTTGGCCAGGCGAGGTGGTGTTAAGCGTATCAGCGGTCTCATATACGAGGAGACACGAGGTGTCCTCAAGATCTTTCTCGAGAACGTTATTCGTGATGCAGTAACCTACACCGAGCATGCTCGCCGGAAAACTGTGACTGCTATGGACGTGGTTTATGCATTGAAGCGACAAGGTCGTACTCTGTATGGTTTTGGAGGGTAGGAAAGATTTAGGGCTTCTGGAATTAGGTGTAATTGGAGGTTTTGTTTCACAGATCTGTTTGTTGGTTTGTTAAAATTGTTTATATATCTGTGTAATTGAGATTCCCAATCAATGTCAGTTTGATCTTGTTAGCAGCTCTTTGCATTTTGTGCCTCTCAAATTATCTGTTCGTTTGATTTCTTTATCGCCTCTCTGAAATCAGGGTTTATAATTCTGTTTGATTATAATTTATACAATTAAAACAGTAATACTGGAATGATTATTTACTAATTTGTTAATATCTTGTGGTTTCAAATTAGCTGTGAGTGGATATTTTGAACGATTAAAAACCAAATTATTTGATAGATATTAGAAATGAGACCGATAACATAGAAGAACATGGGACTAATTTATCAGCTAAAGATGCTTAAAAATGTAAACTTTGGGTTCATATGAATGGAAACGTATGTTCCACATAGATGTAAAGAGAAACCGGATCAAACATCTGCATCAAAATTATGACGCAGACAAACAAATTGAACCAAAACGTACATAAAAATTGTATCTTTCATGTTCAAGAAAAAAGAGGAGCCAATGGTGTTTGTTTTGTAATTGGAAAAATGTCTTTAGTCTTTTTCCGACTAGTGGACCAAAAGTCTTTACGATGTATTCATACAAAAAGTCCTGTTAAAAAGGTGTTAAAAAGGAAGTAGAGTTTTTTGTGTTCCAGAAAACAAATGATCTTTTACTCTTTTTGGTAAACACTATTCGCCAGCAGACATAAGTGTCTAAAAAATCTTTTTGCCAAAAAACAAACGAGCCCTCTGTCTCTCTATGAAACTAAAACTGGAGCCACCACCTACCTCTTATTTTCACTTCTACCTTCCTCTGATTTCGTTTGGGGGATCTATCTCTGAAACGTGATCTGGAGGGTACGACGGTGGCACAAAGTCGGAGACGCTGAAGAGAAGGCGCAGGTGAAGAGGTGTTTTGGATTTAATTTTGAACCCAAAACATTGGAGGCAAAATAATTTATTGATTTAAGTAGGGATTTTTTTTTTAAAGGTGTTTGGATTATTGATTTAAGTAGTGATTTTTTTTTAAAAGGTGTTTGGATTATTGATTTACGGTGGTGAAAAAAAATATAATTGTTTTGATAAAGTGTTTTGATTAGTTTTGTAGTTAATAAATTATTTTTAAAAAGTGTTTGTTTTAATTTATATATATTTTCAATAAATTAATCAAAAAGTTATAATAAGATTTGAAAAAGTTAGAAATCATAACTTATTGAAATATATATTTTTTTAAAGTTTTTTTTATTTATGTTTTATATTGCGAAACATTTTTTTTTACTTGCTAACTTTTCAAAAAACCAATAAGCAAATAGGTTGTTTGTAAATGAAACTTCAAACACCCTCAAAGAATGATGAACATGAGAGTCCATTTATTGGAAATAAATCATAGCAGAGAAAGACTATTCATAATCCAACCCATTTAATTTATGTGTTAATCCGTTTACTTAAATATATATCGAAATCTCTTACTTAAACATGTTAATGTCGTGTTGTGTTGTAACATTTTGACAAATCCAGTCATATATATTAATTAATAATTAAAGATATAAGTAAAATATTAAAAGCAAAAAATTAGTAACAAGGGAGATTAAAAAATGAAATAAAATGAAATGCAAAAAAAAAAAGATAAAGATAAAATTGTCATTTGTTAAAACATAGATGAAAGATAAAAGTTTCTAAATAAAAAGAGAGCCGTCCAAATAAAAACAAAATACAATGACCAAATATGCATATTGGGTCAAACCATATGAATAATCGTATAATTTACTCTTAGGGTAATAAGAATAAGATTACAATTTGTATTTATATTTTGATCATTATGGCTATAATGTACATGAATGGATTCAAGATGTACAATATACCCATAACGGACATGTAAAGTATAAAGATGATGACGATATGAATATAACATTCCATCTAATGATATTTATGTTTACTGTAGATATGAATATAATGATACAGGTAATGATGAACATGAATCTCCCCTCAGATGCTCTTGAATGAATCTTCAAATGATGTGGTAGCCCGTTTAACAAGTTCTCCTCGGTTTATGAACTTGTCAATGTCGCATCATCGTGGGGGAATTGTCCCAAAAAGACGAAGATTTTCATTGCTATTTGCTATGAGTTCTTATGGTTTGTGTGGAAGGCTAGAAATGACACATGGTTGAATAATCTTCGCATCAGCTTTTCCAAGTTGGCGGATAACACTTTTTCTTTGGTGCTTAATTAGTTGAAAAGTATGGGCAATTTCGGTAATTGCAAATGAAAATTCTGGTGTCATTCCCCTTTTGATATATTTCGTAAATTGTTTTTTCTTGCCAATATTTCTTATTGTTTGGCTTGTCGTCTTAATAATTCTGCCGATTCAAAAAAAAAAAAAAAAAAAAAAAGTCCAAAACCCAAACCACATTGTGAAAAATGAACAAGAACAAAGTACATCGGTTGAAACTTGAAAGACACACATTTTTCTTTTCATACTTTAGTTAGATATTTTGGTTTAAAAAAGGTTTAATAATTTTATGATGATATGTTGATAAATATGTGTTGGTTATTTATAAATTTTATTGAAAGTGTTTTTAGAATATAGCTTAACATATAATTTTAGTAAAACTATAACTACTCACAATTAATAAAACAACAAATATACAACAAAAAGATATAATAAAAGGTAGTTATGGCATTTTTCATAAATCGCAATCAAATTATTTTGATAAATTTGCAAACAAAACAAAACACTACAAAAAAGTTCGCTTCATTACGCATCAATCAAACTCATATGATTTTGTCAACCAAACAAACACCTAAAAGGGAGGTGATTTTTCCAATAAGGTTTTTGTCTTTTAATACTTCTACTTAATATTTTATGCATAGACTATTATATCCTTTAATTTAATTTATTTTTAATTTAAGATAATGACGAGAAAAAAATCTTCCCAAACTATATTTCCTTTGTACGTGCAAAAAATTTGGTTTCCTATTAATATATATGATAGTTTCTAAATACAAAAGTTTGGATTTTTTTTAAAAACGTCTCTTGGAATAATTTCTTTTACATATTTTTAATCTCTATTCTAATAAATGAATAGTTTTAATATCATTTTGCCAAATGTCACTCTAATACAACTCTTTATTAATATTATGTCATGTGTCATGTAGAGATATATTAGGCAACTCATTTTAAAATTCAAATTTACATTTTCTAATTATATGTTAAATTTTAAGTTATAATAACTTTAAAATTTTGATATATCTCTTAATTAATAATGTATTTAAAATGATTTATTTAAAATAATTGATTACTAATTATATATTTTTATTATAAAAGTTTAATTAATTTTATAGCCGTGTTTTCCACGGGTTATAAACTAGTTATAAATAAAAAAATCAGCATGCTACCAATATCACGTAAACTAGTTATGTAACTGTTATTATGCATTGGTCTCTTTTAAAATAAAGTAATTATGGTGCAATGGTCACTTGTAAAACATATATGTACAATACTAACATTATTAAATTGTAAAGAGAACTGTATTGCCAACATGCATATTTTTATAAATATGCAGAAATCCGCAACCAACTTTTTCATTGTAAAATAACAATGTAAAATAAAAACAATTAAAAATATTTTGGAATGAACTAATTAAAGATGTCATCTTAATTGGAATCTACAAGTCATTGCTAACGGTATAAATGTAACAAAACATAAGAATATTTTCTAACACTCGACGAATCAATCAATAAAGAAAAAAATCATAAATGGTCCATGTGGTTTCTAAAAATCTGAAGTTTAATCCCCATGGTTTAAAAACATCATATATGGTCCCTGTGTTTTTAAAACTTTTGATGTTTGATCCTTTTTGCTAACTCTGTTAGCCTTCTACGGTTAAATGAAGGGTATTTTCGTCATTTAACTATCCAGGGACCTTTTGTGAGGTTTTCTTTTATTTTATTTTTTTAAAAAAGAAAAAAAATGAAATTTAATATAGTCTCTCTCTCTCTCTCTCTCTCTCTCTCTCTCGTATCTTCTTCTACCTGCACCCCCAACCCGCCTCCACTTACTTTATTCCTAGATGCAACAATCTCTCTACCCAGTGGAGATCCCTAACCTTTGAAGCTTCGTCTACCTCCTAATCCTCTAAAAAAGAAACCCACCTTCTTCTTCTTCTCCATCAAGGTCTGCTACCAGGCTCCGACAAGTGAGATTGGGGTGTCAATGGTGGTTGCCCTCGATCACCGCCGTATGACTAGATCTACGTAGTTGAGCGCCGATCGGATCATACTAGTCAATGATTTCATTTTCCCTTTTTTCACAAACCATAACAATCAACAACTTGTATCATCGAACACAAAAGAAAACTATATCCACTCACTAACAGGTGTGTGAGTGTGAAATTTCCAATCGCTTCTTGTGTTGTTTCTTCAGACTCTTTTATGTTCGCTTTCGTTCATCATTCTACTTTCAAGTTCCTTTTTATAATTTGTCGCCTGTAGATTGGATTTGGTTATAAGGAGGTTGTTATGATTTTGTTTTTTGTAGTTGATCTGAGTATCAGATTGGGAAAATGGTGAAATTTCATCTCGTATCTTGGCGGGGCAACCGTTCTTGCAGCAATGGCGGTGTTGGCCCTTAATTTCTAGCCATCGAGGATTTGTGGCAAGAGAAAAGGCTCAGTAGAAAGATTTCAGGGAGAGAGGAGGTCGTACAAGCAATTTACAGTCTTCTTCATGTTTCGTTGATATTGATCTGTATTTGATTACAGGGAATACGTTTTCAAAAAAAAAATGAAAGAGAGATTTCATATATGGGTTTGATTTTCTTGCTCTGTATTTGATTCCAAGTCGTAGTATTTGTATCCTTGTGTTTATCATCAAATAGAGATATGAGTTATACCCTTTTCCGATCGTCTGCATGCTGCCATATCACAACCACCACCACCACCTGTAA